CGGGGGTCGGCGCGGGGCACGGGCTAGATAGTTCGAACTATGTGGAACGAGGAGTACAGATAGTTCGGAATGGCTATGTAGTTCAAACTATCTAGCCCGTGCCGCGTGTAGCCGCGCGGCACGGGGTTCGCACTAGCCGGCTTTTAAAAATGGTGGCACCGGCTTTATGCTAATGAAGCCCGGGAAATTCAAATCCCGGGCTTCATTAGCAAGTTCGGTATGCATACATTACCCCGCTAGTTCGAACTAGCGGGGTAGTGTAGACATACCCATAAGGAGGAGGGAGAAATCTTGTTCATCTTGGCCTCTGAGGCTAGAACAAGAAACAATGGGCTTAAACTGCAGCAAGGGAGGTTTAGGTTGGACATTAGGAAGAAGTTCCTAACTGTCAGGGTAGTCAAACACTGGAATAAATTGCCCAGGGAGGTTGTGGAATCTCCATCTGTGGAGATATTTAAGAGTAGGTTAGATAAATCTCTATCAGGGATGGTCTAGACAGTATTTTGTCCTGCCATGAGGGTAGGGGACTGGACTCGATGGCCTCTCGAGGTCTCTTCCACTCCTAGTATTCTATGATTGTAAAAGGTCTGACAAAGCGAATGCTACCCCTGGGCCATAGTTAGTCAATCCCTGTGCTATTAGGTCCTTATTTTCAGAGGCACTATGCCAGGATGGGCAATAATTTTTGACTGGGGCCACTTAAAATTGTTTTGAAGTGAATCTGAGCCATCCTGGAAGGGGCGGAGCCTTAGAAGGGGTGGAGCCAGGACACTTCTGTGCTTCCCCACTCATAGACCCTGATTGGTCTGGGGGTGGGGTGGGTGCACAAAGTCTTTGCCCCACCCAGAGAGAACTTCCAGCTGTTCTGAATACCTGGTGGTTTCCTTTAGGTGCTCAGGCCCCTGGCAGTGGGAGAAAACTTCACATGCTGCTCCCCCTTACCCCAGGTAAATCAGGGTGTGGGGAAGGAGGAGCAGGCAAAGTCTCTTGATCCCTGCCCCATCCTTCAAGGGACTACCACACTTAAAGTCACCTCCAGCTGAGCAGCAGCTGGTGGTTGACTTTAAGTGCCGAGCCCCTTACAGGGTGGGAGACTTTACGCACTCCCCTCGCCTCCAAGCTTGGAAGCTCTGTGCCCCTCGCAGGGCACGAAGAGACTTCGTACACTTCCCACCCCCAGGCCAGTCAGGACTTGGGGGCAGGGGAAGCGCATGAAGTACTTCTAAGCACCACGCACTCCTTTCAGGATGGGAGGAGACTCTGCGCACTTTGCCAGGGCTGACTCTAAGCACTGTGTAGCCTGAGGTGGGGCACTGGTTAGCCTGAGGTGGGGCAGCTACAGGGCCTCCCCGAGCCGGATCAACCCGCTTGGCGGGCCGGGTTAGGCCCACAGAGACCCTTTGACCCAGCCTTGCACTATGCACTCACATTTCCAGTTGAAACCATTGCGAGTTGCGGAATGCTCAGTTCTTCAGAAAATTGGGTACTTGGAACATAATCAAGAAGGAGGTTGAACAAAATTCCACTGTGTTAGGGATGGTGCTTTCAGTCCACATTCCATTTTGACTCCTTTTTAACTTTATTCTAGGGAATACTCAATGTCTAAATGTTAGAAATATGTCTTTTGAGTCATGGTAATAAGAGTGAAAATCATAACGCTTAACCTAGTTGATTTCAGATCCTCTTCAGACACTAATATTCAAAGGTATTTTGCTCACTCTTGAGTGACAAGAAGAGCAGCTGTCTTTAGAATACAATTAGAGTTGCTTGTAGGGTGAGACTTACCTGACTATATTGCATCTAGTGTGAATTAGAGAAGTCAATGGCATTAGGCTGATGTCATAATCTTTCAAGTCTAAGCCGAATCCAAAAGCTGACCTATACAGTATGTGTAAAACTGGAAAAGTTTGGTCTATGGAGTTGCTATATTTCTCTATACATCCAAAACCCCATTGATTCTTTTAATTTATTTTCAAAGTGGTAGGACAAGTAAGTGAAAGTCTCTGCATGGGTTTTGGTCACTATCATTTGTAGTCAGTATATAATTAGTTTATGTTAACATGTATAAAATACCATTTAAAGGAGACTTAACATTTTTAGATTAAAATGTATAAATATAAACACGTTTCATTTGAATATTCTATGCTGTACTCTTTTTTCTTGCCTTAATCCCATCAAATGAGATCCACTCTACGGCTGTGTCTACACTGGCATGAATTTCCGGAACTGCTTAAAACGGAATACTATTCCGTTTTCAGTTTTTCCGGAAAAGGAGCGTCTACATTGGCAGGCTGCTTTTCCGGAAAAGCCCTTTTTCTGGAAAAGCGTCTGTGGCCAATGTAGATGCGCTTTTCCAGAAAAGAGCCCCGATCGCCATTTTCGCGATCGGGGCTTTTTTCCGGAAAAGACTACTGGGCTGTCTACACTGGCCCTCTTCCGGAACAGTGTTCCAGAATAAGGACTTATGCCCGAGCGGGAGCAGAATAGTTTTTCCGGAATAGCGGCTGATTTTGTACAGTAGAGCGGCGTTGCTTTTCCGGAAATTCAAGGGCCAGTGTAGACAGCTCGCAGCTTATTCCAGAAAAGCGGTTGATTTTCCGGAATAAGTGGCCCAGTGTAGACACAGCCCCCAAGTCCTCTCCCTCCCAGTTCTCTTTTCAATGCCATTTCTTCTGTTTCACATGACATACACCACTTCTTGGATTGGCCTCTCTTTTTCCTTCAGTCTTCAACTATTAGGCTCTTTTCCACTAGTTGTAGAACTGTTCTTTATCTGACCAAAGTACCTGAGCCTGCCATCCCTCATTTTTGTTTGTTTGTATATATTACTTTAAGCATCTTCTGTATAACCCTAATCCTGTATTTGTACAAGTCTCCTTTTTTCTCCCCTCTTTCTTTCCTGTTCTCTTTTCACACCCCGATTTGTTTATTTACTTCTTGACTATTATCTAAATGCCACACTATGAGCAGTCTGAGGTGTAGACTGTCTTTGTAATATGTATTGTCATAACATCCACTAAAGTAGGATCCTGATCCTTGTTAGAAGTTCTTAAGCATTACAGCAATAAAAATAAATAATAATTATGTACCTTTATGCAAACACACACTCACTCTGCCGTTAATTATTCAAGGCAGCAGGTATTAATTAAACACTCTTATTACAGAGCTGGTCATTTGTCTGAAAATCATGTGGGAACACTTCTAGATGAAGCTCAGGCAGAGGTTCATTCTGTCAAACAGAAGTTGGATCATAATTTAAAACAGGAAAAGCAAAAACTTCACTACAAACTTGTTACTAAGAGAAGAAGAGAAATGCTGCAAAAGGTAATTATGTACAGTGAGCATGGATTATGGTAAAGAAAAATACTGATTACTCTGAAAGATAAAGTTTAATTATTTTATGATGATGATGAAGATAATAAACATCCCTGCTAGGATAACAGAGCAAAATCAGTCTTGATCATTTTTAGTGGCATTTCCACAATATACAATGGAATCTCAGAGTTGTGAATACCAAAGTTATGAACTGACTGGTTAACCATACACCTTATTTGGAACTTGAAATATGCAATCAGGCAGCAGAGACCACACACACACACACAAAAGAAGCAGCAAATGCTGTACAGTACTGTTAAACATAAACTACTAAAAAAGGGAGGGGGTTAAAAATAGATTTGACAAGGTCAGGAAACTGTTTCAGTGTTTGTTTTATTTAAATTAAGAGAGCTAAAAGCAATATTTGTCTACTGTATAGTAAAGTTTCAAAGCTGTATGTAGTCAGTGATTAGATGTATAATTTTGAAAGAACAACCATAATGTTTTGTTCAGAGCTATGAACAGTTCAGAATTACAAACAACCTTCATTAGTGAGGTATTTGTATTTCTAAAGTTCAGCTGTGTCTTAATTAAGCAGTAATTTATTGCAAAAGACCAGATCATTCCCAGCTGTCAGGGAAAACCAGCTAAGTGATATACATGAAGAAAATGCTGAGTTTCTGTTTGTGAAGCTTGACTCATCATAGGGTTAGTTTTTGCATCATGGAGAATGACCCTCCACACCCACAGATTCCAAACTTGATGCAGGAAAATGTTGGCAGTCATACTGAGGGACAGCACTTCCATTTTTATTCTTTGGGCTTCCCATTGGTGGCCATCTCTATCTTCATCTGGTCTAATTGACTTTATACCAAAATTCATAAGTGGTCTGTTTAGACTCCTGTCTGTGAGTTGCACAGAAATAATCAAAAGACGCAAGACATCCCATTGGGTTGGTTGGTACATATATTTCAAAATTTTCTGGGGGTCTGTCTTAAAAGATAGATGGTTTAAAACAAGGAGAGAGCAAGTATGAAGAGAGATCTGGGGCTTCTTTGAGTAACATTCAGTAACTTCTCCCCACAAGGATCGTTTTGGCTAGCTTTACATTGAAAATATTGCATTGTGTAATATGAAATATCAATAAAAACCTTTTCTCTTCTTTCCTCTGTTTTTTTTTTAATCAGAATTTTCTTTTGGAATTTTAGCAGTTCATTAGCTATCTGATCCTTTCAGACATTTGAAAGTATGTCAGGGCATGAAATAAATTGCACGTGGCATTTTTGTAGGTGTTAGAATTCTGTCTAACTTCAACCCAAATTAATAGAGGCCTTCGGGGGCATATCTGAATGAAGTGCTAATATTATGCAATGATGTATCATTTTGAGTATTACATCATATATAATTGCATGTTGGTATGAAATATGCATCTAGGAGATTGGAACTAGAAAGAAGTTCCTTCTATTTATCCTTGGTTTTGTTTTTATTTTTTATGCTAAATGAATCAGCAGAAAGAACAAAGAAAGGAGCAGATGTTGATAGGAGACACTTTTAAAACCACTAAAGAAGTTAGCCACTACTTGAGCCACTGGCAAAATCTTCTGACTGATCATGTGGTTCAATTTGAAGAGCTTATTGAAAAACTCGATAATGATGCCAGTGAAGAAATAAAAGTGCTTAGATTTACTTTGACAGAGAAAGCTATTGATGAACTCAAACGCATTCAATATGGCGTAATAGCTCAAGAGCTGTTAAAACTGAGTGTGCCAAAGCCGTTTCTGCAACAAATTGTTGAGGAGCATAAAAAAGAAATTGCTACTCAGACTGAACAGCTTGAAAAAGAAGAACATGATAAAAATGTGGCCACTGGAGAATGGCTTCAGAATACCAGGAAAAAACTGAGCCAAGAGCTGGAACACAACCTTACAGAACAAAAAAAATTAAGGCATTGGGAACAGTTAGTTTTCATGTAAGTACTTCTTCATTCTCTTTTTCTTGGTTTTGCCTCTACTAAGAAGAAATGTGGGCTTAATTTTAATGATCAGTTCTTTAAACTTTGGAACTGAGTTTCAAAGTCAGTGTTTTCAGATTCCAAGGCCAGAAATGATCATTATGATCAACCATTCTGACCTCCTGTATACTACATTATTTCCCCAAAATAATGACTAGAGCATATTGTGATGGGGTGAATCACAGAACTCCTGTTGGAGTTGTCCCCCAGTATGCAGATCATGCCACTGACACCTGCCTTCCTGCTCTCGGGGGCTCCCCTCCATCTTGTCCTGGGCCAGATCCTCTGGTCATCCCCAAATGAGGCACAGGGTTGCGGTAACCATCCCTCTTCAGAGCAACACAGGTACTGAACCAGCTCAGCTGCAGGAGGGCACAGTACCCAGGAAATCAACCCCCAAAAGGGACCAGACCCCAAGTAAAGTATTACATAGTGAAAGTTCTTAAGGTCAACCCACTGTGTCAATGAAAGAGAGATCTGCACAGTGGTCGCTCTACCCCACTTTCCCCAGTAACAATTATTTCCTTCATAATAAGAGTGTTTTTATTAAGTGTAAAAGTAGGATTTAAGTAATTGCAAGTGAAAGCCGTCAGATCAAAGTAAGTTACTAAATTAAAATGAACAAAAAATGTGTAGCTAGTTTTAATCCACTAATAGAATAGTTACATGCAGATTCTTACTCTAAACAGTTCTTATTTCAGATAAGGAACTTCAGGCTAGAGTTGACCTTTGGCTTGGCCATACAACTTTTCAGAGTTCTTTGTTGTCAAGTATCCTCTTAGAGTGGGCCAGGCAGTTTCAAAGGCCAGCTGAAGACAAAAGGCTGATGACTTTGCATTGCTTAAATATACTTTCCGCCAGGGTGGGAACCCTTTCAGGCCCATACAAGTAAGCTTCCTCCAGTCAGCCAGGGGAACGCAGGAGCAGCATGCTGCCTGAGCCTCTCTCCCCCATGCTCTGACCAACCAGAGGAAGGCTGGGGCTGATTTCCCAATTTACTTGGGGGACCATGAGGAGGGTGTTCATACCCTTGTGATCCACATATATAAAAAAGCACCCCCCCACACACACAGAAATTCCTGCATAGACGCTTGTTTTTGTTCAGCACTGTCATCCCCATGGAAAAGAAGTGGGTGTAATGACCACATGTCTTTCTAGGACTAACCACAGTTTGGGCCTATAGGACAAACAAGACTATTCACACGTCTTTAAGTTGATCACCAAGCCATTAAGTTCCTGAGGCATCAGTAATGGCCCCCATTAGCACATTTAGCATTATAAACAGATCTAAACTTCAGATTTCTAATTTCACATGCAAGAATGATACAGGCACAAAAATAGGATATACAGATTCAGCAGATTGTAACATTCACATTGATACATTATATGAGGTATTTTGCATAAATCATCTTTGAGTTATGCATATTTATATCCATAAGTCAATTTTCATAAAGCATGGGGGGTGTGATACATATAATTTAGAAGAACATCCAGGCTTGATTTAAAAATTGCCATGATGGTGAATCCATTATGGCCCTTGATAAATTGTTCCAATGGTTAATTACTCTCACCAATTAAAAATTCATGCCTTATTTTCAGTCTGAATTTGATCAACTTCAACTTCCAGCCTACGGATTGATCTTTCTTTGCTAGATGAACGAGCCTATTATTAAATATTTGTTTTCCAGGTATAAACTTACTGATTGTAACCAAATCATCCCTTTACCTTCTCTTTGTTACGCTAAATATACTGATAGACTCCAAGAGGTCAATCTAAGGCATGTTTTCTAATACTTCAATAATTTTTGTGGCTCTTCTTGAACCCTCTCCAATTTATGAGCATCCTTCTGGAACTGAGGGCACCAAAACTGGATACAGTATTCTAACAGTGGTTATACTAGTGGCAAATATGGAAATGAAATAGCCTCTTTATTCCTGATGGAGAGTAGCCTGATTATGCATCCCAGGATCACAAGTTCACATACAGCTGTTTATGCACCACAATCCCCAAATTTTTTTCAGAGTCACAGCTTCCCAGAGTAGAGACTCCTGTACTGTGGCCTACATTCTTTTGTCCCTAGATACAGGCAGTCCCCGGGTTACGTACAAGATAGGGACTGTAGGTTTGTTCTTAAGTTGAATCTGTATGTAAGTCGGAACTGGCGTCCAGATTCAGCCGCTGCTGAAACTGATCAGTCTGGACACCAGTTCCGACTTACATACAGATTCAACTTAAGAACAAACCTACAGTCCCTATCTTGTACGGAACCCGGGGACTGCCTGTATTTGCCCACCCCTGCCCTAGCAGCTTGCAACTACAGCAATGAATGTCTCCTATTCCCTTTCCTCTGTTTCCTCTGTTAAAGATTTTCAGTTTTTTCCTCTTTTCCATTGCATTTTACTGTGGTGTGTGAAATCAGGAGTCCTGCAATGTACCAAAGGACCAACCCAGCAGTACCCCAGCTGCTCTGCCCCAGGTGTCCTGATTCAGCCGCTGCTGAAACTGACCAGAAGTGGCTGAATCGGGACGCCTGGGGCAGAGCAGCTGGGGTGCTGCCGGGTTGGACCAGTAGCGCCCAGAGCGGGATAGCTATTTCAGGTACCTCCGGTATCCGGAAATAGCTCCACAGTGTACATAGCCAAAGTTAAACCACTTAAATAAAACTAAATATGTTATGTCAATGCTATTACCTGTATCAACCAAACGTATAATGTCATAAAAAAAATACCAGGTTAGCTTGACAGGATCTGCTTTTCATAAAATCATATTGGGTTGTATTCATTACATTACATTCCTGTAGTTTTTTATTAATTGAATCCCACATTAATCACTGCATTATCTTACTCAGGATCTCAATCAGGCCTGAAATTACATGAATTATCTCATTTTCCCTTTTTAAAAATTGACACAGCATTATCTATCTTTCCATCTTCTGGAATATCCTCAGTACACCAAGCTTTACTAAAAATCAATATTAAAGATCCACCAACCTTCTACCTCGACTCTTTTAATAGTCTGGGATGCAAATTATCTGGACCTGCTTCTTTAAAAATGTCTGATTTTAGTAGCTTCTGTTTAATAACATCTAGAGACTCTGGGGGCTGGAATGAGTGTTATCACCATATGATGAGACTATATCAATCTGCTTTTTCCCTGAATATAACACACACACATTTATTGGCATGTAAAACAAGTATATTTAGTATTTTCTCAGTTTTGGCACTGCACACAGAACACTTAATACCTCAGGCCTTCCATCCCTAAAAATAATTACTGAATATTAAAGCCATAGTTTAGGTTAGCATTTTCATGGTTTTCAGGTACATTTTGGAAGAGCCTTTGTTTTTGTCTATGCACTAGAGATTGATCCTCTCTAGTCCTCCGGTCCTGACCAGTGCTGAACAATGGGAGGTCAATATTGTCTAGCAGCATTACCTACACTTCCATTAGGCTCCATTAGAAGACATTTAGGGGTATATTAGAGCTAAATAACAGCACAGAACACTTGAGAGCCAGGACCAGTGGCTGTAAGCAAACTTTATGGGACTGCAGAAAACTTGACGACATCCATGGTAAGTCGACATCCAGATAACTAAAATCATGCTGGACCATGGATGTTGCCGGATCAGAAAGTGCCAGACTAGAGAGATTCAACGTGTACCATATTTTCTGGCAACAGCAATTTAATGTTTGCTATGAGACATTGTAACAAGGCCCTACTGCTTGGAGCACATAAAAGTCATAGTTTCAGGTCACATGAGTGGGATTGAGTTTGTGATATTCTGCAGGGGTACCAGACAACTATTTGGACTGCCCTGATGGGTAAATCTGCCCAATGGCTTATGTACTTGTATTCATTTAAAAAAAATCGACTATATAACATAAATGCCAATTTAACTGCAGGTGAGGGGAAAATATTTTTCTCTAAAGAAAATGAGATAAATATGAGACCTGCTGGGCCAAATGGGATGACCTGGCCTTGTCACAGTAAGTTTGCGTACTGCACAGTATAGCTCTGTGGGAAACTGATCTACAGAAGAAATCTACCTGTTACTTGTAATGTAACTTTTCAGTGACTTTGGGTTTTTCAAAATTCTAAATAACTTCCATAAATCATTTCAATCTGTCTTTCAGACACTGTCTTATTATCTCTAAATATACTGTAGAGGACAATCATGCACCAGCAGTGGCATGGATTAAGTGACCTAGAGGTCTTTTCCATTTCTGTCTTCTGTGATTCTATGATCATGTATTCCAATTAGCAGCGCTGCCTGGTAGGCTTGTCAAATACCATCTTTATTCATAAAGCAACAATAAAAATCAGGTTCTTATAAGCTGCTTACATGTCCAGTACATTTTTATACACAACATTACATCAAAAGCTCTTAATTAATTCTCACTGTCTTTACACTTTCTGACACTGTCAGTTTTGATATTTTGATCACCAGACATGCTCTAGTCTCTTACAAAAATTATTCTGAACAATAGCTTTTTATTTGTGTTGATCATTAAAGATACTATAAAATAGTTCCATGTCATCACCAAAAATATTCACACTTCACAATCCTTTCCTAACATGGGTATGGCATAAGAAATCTGTGTAGTTTCTAGTCCACTCTTTTTTTCTGGTAGTGCTAGCTTTTTATGTATAAATCTAATTCTATATTTGGGAGCAGTAAGTACTACCTATTGGGGAGATTATGCCTTAAGATAGGCATCTTAGGTGGATAAACTATTGTAACTATGAATATTTTAATGTAGAGACTTACTACTATCAGTTGATTCAAAGAAGAATTTCTAAAAGTATCATAGGAATGTTTTATGGAAGTACAGGGCATCCCTGCTGTAAGTCACTCCGGTATACATCCATTCCACACTTAAGTAGTTGATGCTTGTAGGAACTGATGTGTTATAAGTCCTCTCATTCTCTACTTCTAAGTCGTGCAAAAAAACCCAA